CAGCAAAGCTTTGGATATGATATCACAACTTCTGGTTTGAGAATTGAGGTGGAGGCAGTCTCTGCTGCCTTCCGCTGGCTTGAGAATCAGCTGTACACACATGTCATCCTTGTAACTGACTCACAGAGCATGTTAAGAAAGGTGAAGAAAGGCATGTTTCGTGCAGAGTGGCAAGTATCACTTCAGAGGTCTCGGGTAGTTATCCTCCCTTTGATATTTTTTCAAGGTGATGCCAGTGTGTGTGGCAAATGAGCAGACAGGTAGACTGGCTGGCTCTGCATCACTTGGTGGTGAATTGATGTATGACAAGCCGGATATTGTGAGAGCCCTTTAGGAGCGAGTGAACAGTGCGAATGCGCAGATAGATCATTACGGTCAGAGAAGAATGGCGCTGCGAGGAGTTACCAAGGGATGTGATCGACGCTCAACACTCAGGGGAAGGATGAGACGGATATACAATCAGACAGCTACTGGTGCCATCGGAATTGGAACTATTCGCTTGCTGTTGAAGATGGGGAGGGAGCGCTTATGGGAGTGTCCCGAGTGCTGTAATGTCGATTCTCAATTCAACATTTAACATTCATTCAACATTCCTGGTCAAGAACATGTTTTTTTTTTTTTTTTTTGGGGGGGGGGGGGGGGGGTGGGGGGGGGGGGGGGTTCATTTTTGAATTAATCTTTGTCGCACATTGGATATGACCATAAGTGCTCCGATCTCCTTATGAAAATGTTTCCAAGTGTTTTAGGCAAACAACTCCCAGTCTAGAGCAAGTGAATGTTTTCACTGGGTAGCAAGACGTACATGGACGGCAAATACTTGTCAAGTGAACTAGTATTGAAACCAGGCGGACACAGAAGATCCAGGACATGTGGGTATGGAAGAGCTGGTACAGCAACCGGCGGCTTGTGTCGTGTCTAGAGCCACTTTACGCAAACCTGCTACAGGATGATGGACTACCGCCATTGCTGCCCACACTGACGATGTTGCCACTTTTTCTTGTGCATCTCAGTCTCTAATTCTTTTTCAATGTTACTAAGGCTCTGTGGGTTCCAATGACAGCACATTCTAGCTGGCATGTTATTAAGTGTTCTGAGTGTGTGTCCCAATGGGCACGGCGGTCTTTGCTTCACCTCTTTGTCGACAACAATTTGTTTCGGCCGAGGGCTAATCTACTCATTTCCATTTGTGTATTTCTGATCCACCATTGAGTTCCTGCATAGACACCTGTCACTGAATGTTATCAGTTTTGATAGTAAATAGTTGAGTCGCTTACAGCTGCTGATGTGACAATATAGCTAACTATTCTAAGTTTGCCGTGCGCGCGCGCGCGCGTGTGTGTGTGTGTGTGCGTCTGTGCGTGCGCGAGTGTGTGTGTGTGCGTGCGCGTTTGTATTACCTTTATATATTCCATAGTACCACGAATGCTTTCTTGCCTTGTGTATATTTTATTCGTGTATCTCGGCTTGTTTCCCCTATCTGCGTTTACATTGTTACCTCAATTGTTTTTTTAACGTATCCAGAAACCATGAGTTGTAAACCCTTTGGCTCGGTACTATGGATATCGCAACCCTTCGGCCTTGATTCCATTATAGGTACCGTTAATCTGGGAGAAATGTGGCTTTTCTGCACCTCGAGTGAGCGTTTCTATTAGAAGCATTCAGTTGTCGTTAGCTTGCATTATTCGCATAGTCTTGTTTTTGTCGGTGCATATAAGGGATAATTAACGTGGAATGCTATCAAGTATGATTATCTTATAATGTTACAGGTGACCTTGAGGTGTCTGCTGCATCGTGGGACCGAGCACTTAAGGGGGTGCTGTGACGTAGATAGAGATAACACATTGCACCTAGTTTCTGGAGTGGAGTAGGGATAAAATCCCAGCAGAGTGCAGTAGATTGAGCAGCTCTGTGCGAGTGCATCCAATTTTTGTTGATAGCTATGGCTGTCTTCATAATTGAATCTGTTTACAGTAAGAATAATACATGTTGAGTCCACTTGAGTCAGGAACTGACATCACAGCACTCAAGACCTTCACATACGTGCTCTGTCTTCATCTTCAGCAGCCAGCTAAGAATTCCAGTTATGGTGCCAGTAGCATTTTCCTTATGCGTTTATAAGTCTTGCCTAATATTTGAGCGCAGTGTTTCTCTGCTAAAACTCCTGGTCACTCTTTTCCACAACATTTTCTTCAGATTAGCGCTTCCGGATGGCTCACTTGCTCACAAAGGACCATAACCCCATCTAGCTTGTCATGCTTTGAGTTACCGCCCAGAGGCACTTTACCAGCTAATCTGCTGCCTCTTTGTTTTTCAACACACTTGCATTGCTGGAAAAAATATCCAAAGGACGCTAACAACCGGGGACCTCTAACGTAATTCTTGCCACCCTGAACGAGCATGCATTTCTTAGGCACTTGAACAAAACTCTGAACTCAGCACGCTTTATGAGACTGTTACAGCTGATTCTCAAGCCAGTGAAAAGTTGCTGTGACTGTCTTTATTTCTATTCGCAAAATTTATGTTGTGATATCATTTCCTAGGCATTACTGTACCAAATGACGTCCATTCAATATTGCAATGAACCCCTGCGCACTTATTCTGCTGCTTAACACAGATGCATCTGTATATATGATCACATCACCTGGGCGGCAATTGTCATGAATCAGTTGTTGAATTTCTGATTTATGCAGTGTCTCCTAGCAAACTGTTTTTTTTTAAATCCCGCACAAGTCTGATTCGTGCCCCGACACCTTGACCCGCGCAACTCCTTGTACAAAAGTAAACAATGTTACAGGTGATACAACTGTCATATACCTGTTCTTATTTCAAAGGTCTGTTTTTCATACTCTGGTCCCCCCCCCCCCCCACAAGAGATTTCTTTTTAATATCGCCAGTCAAAGCCAATTGCTCCAATGTAAGAGTAAAGAATTCAGCTCAATAGTCTGGTCTATTACTGCACGTAATGTAAAGTCTGATCAGTAAACAGGCACTTAATAATGATATAAAATAACCCCCTGCCTCCACCCAAAAAGAAAATAATAATACGATGGTTGGTTATCTCTCATAGTAACAATCTGTATCAAATATCTACTCGTCTGTCGGCCTGGTTTTCATCACCACTGTTGTTGACGTTTTATCTTTATTATTATCGTTCATTATCATTGTCATCAATAAAGTGGCATTAACTTACAGTATCTTGTTGAACTTCCACAGCCACTGGAAAGGTGTTTGAGCTCCCAAATCCATTACTTTTCATCCACTGTGCCTAGGAAAAAATGGAGACTGTCTCTAACTGCCGGAGCGGTACATGATCTACCACAGTACATTCAAGCGGTACATAATCTACCACAGTACATTCAAGCGGTACATGATCTACCACAGTACATTCAAGCGGTACATAATCTATCACAGTACATTCAAGCGGTACCTGATCTATCACAGTACATTCAAGCGGTACATGATCTACCACAGTACATTCAAGCGGTACATGATCTACCACAGTACATTCAAGCGGTACACGATCTACCACAGTACATTCAAGCGGTACATGATCTATCACAGTACATTCAAGCGGTACATGATCTATCACAGTACATTCAAGCGGTACATGATCTATCACAGTACATTCAAGCGGTACATGATCTACCACAGTACATTCAAGCGGTACATGATCTACCACAGTACATTCAAGCGGTACATAATCTACCACAGTACATTCAAGCGGTACATGATCTATCACAGTACATTCAAGCGGTACCTGATCTATCACAGTACATTAAAGCGGTACATGATCTACCACGGTATATTCAAGTGGTACATGATCTACCACAGTACATTCAAGCGGTACACGGTCTACCACAGTACATTCAAGCGGTACATGATCTACCACAGTACATTCAAGCATGGTCTATAATGGTAACAGAAACACAAACAGCGCAGACTGGTTCCCCTACTCGTCACATTAGTCTGTGGCCATGTCTGTCAAACAGATAGCCTGCTCGACGGAATAATCTAGCTATTTAACTTCCTTTACCACACCAAGACATTACACAAGCAATAAACACCCGATGACACAAAGTGTCACCATGTGGATGAGGATCTCCAGTGGAGAGGTCCCAGAAACCGCATTCAGCCATTTGACCATATTTATGGCCGAGCTATATTGCGGTCCCTGGCAAGAGCCAGAGTAGGGCTTCAAATAACGAAAAATTGCATCCCACAAAGGGATGACAAGATATTACGGAATAAGTAGTTCAGAATTGGATGATACTTCCAGTGTAAGGTCTTTTCTAGAAGGTTTGTAGGCCTGTATTATCTCTGTGATATCCAATTTACTGAAGAATGTGGGAACTGCCGTCACGACGTCACTCAGTGAACGGAAATAACTTCAGCATTAGCCAAGTCGTACACAAAGGAAAACAACAAATCAGTGTCTAGCAAACGTGGTTATGGGCGGATATAATCGACCGCTCTGTGCGGACAGCTTGCAGCAGAGAGCAGACGACTTCTCTCTTGTGCACGTAGCCAGCCATTGCTCTCAAGACACGGAAGTCACCAGAAACCAATCTGGGATGGGAGGTTAATAGGAAACTACAGTACAATACTCTCATATTGATAAGTGTTTCAGTACATTTAGACATAGAAATCTTCATTTAAAGCTTCTAACGGAATAATTCAAGTGTTATGATATGTAAACATTTACTGTTATACTTCGACACATGGACACACACACACATACACATATGCACAAGCCCCGCCCTGCCCCCACCCCACACACACACACACACACACATTTAGAGAGAAAGACAGACAGAGAGATAGATAGATGGAGAGAGAGTGAGAGAGAGAGAGAGAGAGAGAGAGAGAGAGAGAGAGAGAGAGAGAGAGAGAGAGAGTTAGCCGCCTACCATTTACATGATTTCACAGATCAACCCCCAACATTTGTTGGCTGTATGTGGTTTTCGTACGCAGTGTTATGTTCAGTAGTTTGTTCGTGCACTGTGCAGTCAATGCTAATATCTCCTTGAAATCAAAGAAAAGGAGTATGTTGCCTTTTTTTCGCCTGCAGATGAAACAAACTGGGTGTTTCGGAATTACACCGATGCGTTCATAATCCCCAAACCAGTGTCGCCGATTACACAAACACGCACGCACAAACCGCACGTGTATGTGTGTGCGTAAGTGAGCGAGCACCCGCACATGTGTGTGCGTTAAAAAGGTAGCGCAGTTTGTGGTGTGGCCAAGTGATTCTCCCAGCAGGCAGTAAGTGCCCATCGCCCCTTAAAGAATCCAACAGACACATAGAGCTGTAATTTTGGTGATAGGAAATCACAACCACATAAACATTCTTATATACACTGCAACTGCTTTAAAATCATTCTGTTCTACGGTCTGGTCCTTTCCCCAATTGAAAACGCTCTGGTTATTGTTATTAGGCAAATATGCAGCCTAACTGACATCACCCCTGGTGCAGAGTGGATACCTGTGCCTCATGTGTGTTTTTTGTTTGTTTTGGGGGGTATATTTTCCTGTATTGCCACACTTAACGCGATGTAAAGATGAAAATCCTCTTGCTGTAAATGCAGAGGTCAACGCTCTCGTCAGTGAAAATTCAGACGAAGCAGATGCACTAATCTACACAGACTGATATGTTATACTCCAAAAAAGAAGCGCATGGGCATTCACAGCACGCTCAGCCGGCAGAACAGTCAAAGAAGCCAACGGCGCCTTCTCCATAACAACCAGAAGCATAGCAATAGAGGTGATGGCAGTGACGCAAGCGTTCGCCTGGCTCGAAACACAAAAATACACCCGCGTATGTATACTCAGTGATTCAATGAGTACGATCCGGAGGGGTCAAGCAGGTTCGGTGCGAAGACAATGGCTTGAATCATTACAGAAGTCCACAGTGCGTCTAGACACCTTTATTTTTGTTCCGGGACACGCAAGCATCGATAAAAATGAAAGAGCTGACAGGTTGGCTGGATCCGCTATCACTACCGACGCTCAGCCTATGGATCATGCTGATATTATTAATTCCCTCAGAGAAATAGGAAGGATAGAGGACTTTAACCATGAATCCACATCATTCGTCAGAATGGCAGACTTGGGAATTAAGATCGGCGTAGCAAAAAACGAGACGCACACCAGACACGCCAGAAGACTTGTTAATTAACATAGAACTGGTACTATTAGCCATCGCGCGTTGGGGTTCATACTGAGGGGAGGATCTGAGCAGCTTTGGATATGTCCAGAGTGCAATGATGATAACCCAACTAACTAACTAACTAACTAACTAACTAACTAACTAACTAACTAACTAACTAACTAACTAACTAACTAACTAACTAACTAACTAACTAACTAACTAACTAACTAACTAACTAACTAACTAACTAACTTCTTTAAAACCAACCTTTTCGAGGGATAGAAAAACAAAGTTTAACTCACATTTGCAAAGTACCAGGTGAAAAGGGTGTTGGGCGGATGGTTAGATTTCCCATCTGTAAAGTAAGCACTCCAAGCATCGCAGGAAATACCTCTCTTGGTATGCTGTAGATGACATGATGTCAGTTCATTGACACAAGCAACATGACAGACGAGAATCGGCTTACTGTGGTTAACCCTATGTTTGTGTATACTTGAACCATGCCAGACAATAATGACAGCACATCTCATCTATCTATCAATGGAACACCCTTTAATTATAAGATGGGGTGAGTTCACGCGACGAGAACAAATACTGTTGTGGGTAGAACAGTTTAACAATGGCTATCTTGTTTCTGTTTGTTTACTTTCGCTAACTCTTCTTCCCTTGTTATTGTATGCCCACGGAAAAGTCTATGTTGAAGTCTATCTTTCCTAATGTGGCATGTCCATCTTTAGCCGTATCTTCCCCAGTTGACTGTGTCCATGTTTTTAGCACTGGTAATCTTAGTTTCAGCTTTATAGCTAATGGGTCACCATATAGTTGCTCCGCTCCTATGCTAACGAAAAACACACAGAATGTTCATAACTATCCATAATGGGGAAAAATAAACACTGCTGTCTCAGAATATCCACTATCATACACACGCACTGAAAGCATAAGGCAGCCATCAGAGGTGCTAACACAAACAGCCCGATATTAGAAATGCAGTTCATCATCGACGAAAGCAGCAGTTACGAACAATCAGCAGCTGCACACTGATTAATTTTAATCGCATAAGGCACAACTAATTCTGTGGTGAGAGACCACTCGACATTTTCTCAATCTAAAGTTAACCACATCGTGTTTTTTTCCCAGCCGAAAAAACATTCCAAATGAAATCCGCAACTGACAGTGTAACGCCATGTACTAAAATCAGTAGCTGGACGAAAGTATGATATCCTTTCAGTCTAAAATTGGAGGAAAATTGCAACGGTCACCGACTACCAGAAGCACAAAGTTTACTACGACTATAAACTGTGACCAGCGTTCATTTGGACCGGAATATTTAGCACTATTTCTCAGTAATATTTGACTCTAATTTAATGAGTGTGACAATGTCTGTGTTTAACTCCATCTTTACTTTGGCAGTATCACTATTTTTCTCTATCTTCTTCACTTTGACTGTGTCCATATTAAGCTCAATTTTCTCCTAAATGACATTCTCCATTTCTAGCTTTATCTTCTTCAGTGTGACCATGTCCTTATTAAGCTGTATTTTCTCCATTTTGTCAGTGTCCATATTCAGCTCTATCTTCTCCACTTTCCCAGTGTCTAAATTTAGCTCTACCTACCCAGAATGACATGTTCCATATTTAGCTCGGCCTTCCCCTTTGCTTCATGTTTAGCTGTATCTTCCCTAGTGTGAGGACAGCTTCTATGTTTAACTCCACCTTGCCCAGTGTGCAGTGTCCATATTCACCTCTCTCATGTTCATTGTAACGGTATGCATAGGGTTTGCCATTCCACATTTAGCATTATGAGACAGACACGACGCACTTGTAGCACAGTCGTCAGCATTATCTGTTTACATCAAAGCAGTCAGCATTATCTGTTCACGTCAAAGCCGTCAGCATTATCTTTTTACACCAAAGCAGTCAGCATTTTCTGTTCACGTCACAGCCGTCAGCATTTATCTGTTAATGTCACAGCCGTCAGCATTATCTGTTCACGTCAAAGCCGTCAGCATTATCTGTTTAGATCAAAGCAGTCAGCGTTATCTGTTTACATCAAAGCTGTCAGCATTATCTGCTCACGTCTCAGCCGTCAGCATTTATCTGTTCACGTCACAGCCATCAGCATTATATGTTCACGTCAAAGCCGTCAGCATTATCTGTTTACATCAAAGCAGTCAGCATTATCTGTTCATGTCTAAGCCGTCAGCATTATCTATTTACATCAAAGCAGTCAGCAGTATCTGATTACATCAAAGCTGTCAGCATAATCTGTTCACGTCACAGCCGTCAGCATTATCTGTTCACGTCACAGCCGTCAGCATTATCTGTTCACGTCACAGTCGTCAGCACTATCTGTTCACGTTACAGCCGTCAGCATTATCTGTTCACGTCACAGCAGTCAGCATTATATGTGCACGTCACAGCATTAAATGTGCACGACTCAGGAGTCAGCATTATCTGTGCACGTCACATCAGTCAGCATTACCTGCGCACGTTACAGCAGTCAGCATTATCTGTGCACGTCACAGCATTATTTGTGCACGTAACAGCATTATCTGTGCACGTCCCAGCATTATCTGTGCCCATCACAGCATTATCTGTGCACGTCACAGCATTATCTGTGCACGTCACAGCATTATCTGTACACGTCACAGCATTATCTGTGCACGTCACAGCATTATCTGTGCACGTTACAGCATTATATGTGCACGTCACAGCATTATCTGTGCACGTCACAGCATTATCTGTGCAAGTTACAGCAATATCTGTGCTCGTCACAGCATTATATATGTACGTCACGGTAGTCAGCATATCTGTGCACGTCACAGCAGTCAGCATATCTGTGCACGTCACATCAGTCAGCATTATACGTGCACGTCACAGCATTATTTGTACACGTAACTGCATTATCTGTGCACGTCACGGCATTTTTTTGTACACGTAACTGCATTATCTGTCACATCACAGCATTAATTGTGCACGTAACTGCATTATCTGTTCACGTCACAGCATTATCTGTGCACGTCACAGCAGTCAGCATTATCTGTGCACGTCAACAGAAGGGGAAACCTAGAGTACATCATCCCAACAGAGAGCTGTAGAGGAAGGGAATCATGGGAGACTCAGAGGGGATGATATGTGGCTGACATTATGAGATAGAGGTACATCCGGGGTCGCGGAACTTGGAGACACATCTGGGGAGTAGGTGGATGGTTGAGAACACGCATCTGTTTTGGGCAATATATTCCTGTAAAACTACGCCCTGTGAGCCGGTGCATTGTCATGAAGAAGGAAAAAACTGCCAGGTGTTGAATATTCGAGTCGAACTCTGAGAATTTTTTTAAATAGACGTTTCAAAATACTTAAGTAAACTGTGGCTGTGATAGTGTGTTCCTCTGGAATAAATTCCTTGTAAATAACTCCTTTGCTGTCGTAGAAACACACCTTGTCTTCAAACACACCAACATTGTCTTCACTTCAATCTTTTGAAGACGGATTTGTTTGCCTTTTGATGATGATGATGATGACTTCCACTGAGCACTTTCGCATTTAGTTGTGGGATCATAGCGGAGAATCTATGTTTCTTTCTTTGCAACAATAACATTTTAAAAATCTTTATTTCCGTGACACGTTTTAATGATGGCTTTTGCGTACTCAACACGCTGATGTTTTTTGGTCATCAGGCAAGGAATGCCCTAATCTTCCACTAAAATTTTACGAATGGTCTCTCTATTAAGATCAGATTCATCCGCCATCATCCTCACATTCAAACAACGATCTTCTTGTATCCTTTCTCAGACTTTTGTAATGAGTTCCTCATTACAAACAGAAACTGGGCGTCCAGGTCTAATTGAATTAATAATCATTTCCACACCACTTTTGAATCGTGAATACCAGCTGAAAATCTGTGCACGAGACAAACAGTTATCCCCATAAACTTGTCGCATCAATTGAACTGTCTCAATGGCGCTTTTTCTGAGTTTTAAACAGAATTTAATGTTAGCTTTTATGCTCCATGCTGATTTTGTAACAATGCACATCTAACTAGGTCAATAAAATGACGGCCTTGTTTGTTGTCTGCTTATCAGGCGGCGATGCAAAGTTGCCAAATCATAGAGGAAGGTTGTCTCTTTGGATTCCATGCTTTGCTTCACATATGCCTTTTTTGTCTTGGCCATAATAAAAGAAGTCTCATTACCTAATTGTCGGACCTTGTATAACTTAAAATATATTATTTTATTTATTTGCGATACAGTACATTATTATTATTGTCATTATTATTATTATAATTTTGCATTCAAAACAATGCTTGAGCCCATTGAGTTCCATCCACCCCACCCCCAATCCATGAATGTGGTAGGCCGCTAATCACTGCAATGTTTTATTTGTGTTGGCATCTCTGAATACATCTGTATTATATATGATTGAAAGTAGCCGATTAGTAGTACCCGAAAGCAGTACTGGGGTCAAGACTTGTAGTAGAGGGGAGTTTCACGCACATATTTCTTTTTTTTTGGGGGGGGGGGCATGGGGGGGGGGGATTTCCCCATGTAACCTTTGTTACACCAAATGGAGGGGGCGAAAAGAGGTCAGTTGTGACTCGGGGTCAATTGCGGCCTCGGTGGTTTTAGGTCACCTGGCGTCTTGGTTGAGGCTCGAGTCACGCGACTCGGGGTCAGCTCCGGGTCAGAGGGAGACTCTGATCGTTTGAGGTCACGTTGCGGCTCAGATGAGGCTATGTTGGGACCTCATGATGGAACAGACAGTCCCTCCCACCCCCCCCCCCACCTTTTTTCCCCCAATATCTTGGTAGCAGTAGTGTAACAAAGGTTACATAGGTGTAAAACGGTTAAAAAAAGGTTAACAGTTCCCCCCCCCCCCAATATCTTGGTAGCGGTAGTGTAACAAAGGTTACATAGGTGTAAAACGGTTTAAAAAAAGGTTTACAGTCACCCCCCCCCCCCCAATATCTTGGTAGCAGTAGTGTAACAAAGGTTACATAGGTGTAAAACGGTTAAAAAAAGGTTAACAGTCCCCCCCCCCCCCTCGATGTGAAAACTCCCCTCTACTACCAAGGCTGTGGTATTATCGAAGCTACACCACGTGGGATTTGTGCAGAAGTGGACAGATCTACTGGTGGACGCAGTCAAAAATCTACTGGTGGACGCAGTCAAAGATCTACTGGTGGACGCAGTCAAAGATCTACTGGTGGACGCAGTCAAAAATCTACTGGTGGACGCAGTCAAAGATCTACTGGTGGACGCAGTCAAAAATCTACTGGTGGACGCAGTCAAAGATCTACTGGTGGACGCAGTCAAAGATCTACTGGTGGACGCAGTCAAAGATCTACTGGTGGACGCAGTCAAAGATCTACTGGTGGACGCAGTCAAAGATCTACTGGTGGACGCAGTCAAAGATCTACTGGTGGACGCAGTCAAAGATCTACTGGTGGACGCAGTCAAAGATCTACTGGTGGACGCAGTCAAAGATCTACTGGTGGACGCAGTCAAAATCTACTGGTGGACGCAGTCAAAGATCTACTGGTGGACGCAGTCAAAGATCTACTGGTGGACGCAGTCAAAGATCTACTGGTGGACGCAGTCAAAGATCTACTTGTGGACGCAGTCAAAGATCTACTGGTGGACGCAGTCAAAGATCTACTGTGGTGGACGCAGTCAAAGATCTACTGGTGGACGCAGTCAAAGATCTACTGGTGGACGCAGTCAAAGATCTACTGGTGGACGCAGTCAAAGATCTACTGGTGGACGCAGTCAAAGATCTACTGGTGGACGCAGTCAAAAATCTACTGGTGGACGCAGTCAAAGATCTACTGGTGGACGCAGTCAAAGATCTACTGGTGGACGCAGTCAAAGATCTACTGGTGGACGCAGTCAAAGATCTACTGGTGGACGCAGTCAAAGATCTACTGGTGGACGCAGTCAAAGATCTACTGGTGGACGCAGTCAAAGATCTACTGGTGGACGCAGTCAAAGATCTACTGGTGGACGCAGTCAAAGATCTACTGGTGGACGCAGTCAAAGATCTACTGGTGGACGCAGTCAAAGATCTACTGGTGGACGCAGTCAAAGATCTACTGGTGGACGCAGTCAAAGATCTACTGGTGGACGCAGTCAAAGATCTACTGGTGGACGCAGTCAAAGATCTACTGGTGGACGCAGTCAAAGATCTACTGGTGGACGCAGTCAAAGATCTACTGGTGGACGCAGTCAAAGATCTACTGGTGGACGCAGTCAAAGATCTACTGGTGGACGCAGTCAAAAATCTACTGGTGGACGCAGTCAAAAATCTACTGGTGGACGCAGTCAAAAATCTACTGGTGGACGTAGTCAAAAATCTACTGGTGGACGCAGTCAAAAATCTACTGGTGGACGCAGTCAAAAATCTACTGGTGGACGCAGTCAAAAATCTACTGGTGGACGCAGTCAAAAATCTACTGGTGGACGCAGTCAAAAAATCTACTGGTGGACGCAGTCAAAAATCTACTGGTGGACGCAGTCAAAAATCTACTGGTGGACGCAGTCAAAAATCTACTGGTGGACGCAGTCAAAAATCTACTGGTGGACGCAGTTAAAAATCTACTGGTGGACGCAGTCAAAAATCTACTGGTGGACGCAGTCAAAAATCTACTGGTGGACGCAGTCAAAAATCTACTGGTGGACGCAGTCAAAAATCTACTGGTGGACGCAGTCAAAAATCTACTGGTGGACGCAGTCAAAAGATGAACTTAAACTCGCCTTGTATATAGTGTGTTCTAATGCTGCCACCCATTAGAGAGAACAGCGCAAATATTGTGACATGACAACTAGAAGCACAACAATTAGTGCACCCAACGGGCAAGGCATACTTACCACGCCCATGTACTGGTACTGATTGGAGTCTAGGTCAAAGAACTGTTGGGGAGTCCTCATGGCGACCTTACCCCCAGCAGCGGGAACCGCGTCCACATTCCCCTCTGAGATTGGGGTCACTGAACAACTTCCACTGATGAGATTCATCTCGAAAGTCAGACCTGGCCAAAATATGTGCACAATATTTACATTTCCTGGCCGCCTGGTTATATCACTTTGACGAATTTGTTTATCGATGTAATTAGAGTGTGTGTGTTTTTCCGCTGTCTGTATCGCATGCATTTACCACTTGTTATGGCTGTGTAGAAACCCGAGTCCTTGAACTTGGCTATGTTAGGGACGCGTGGCCCGTGCAGTCACCATCATTTGTAGAGGTTAGGATTGTGTGTTTGTGTGCGTGCGCGCGATGATGTGAATGTGTGTTTGTTTGTATGTGTGTCTATGTGTGTGTGTGTTTGTGTGTGAGTGTCTATATGTGTGAGTTCCCAAAAAAGAAAATTTGAGACTACCTTACTTAGGATTCAAGCCTGTGCTTCCAGAATGAGGTACTAACTGCTCAGCCAGTGGTTCCTCTACATACATAAATAGCCTCCCCGTGTTCTCATTGGGGATATTGTCTGTCATTTGGAGCAGTGACTTGAAAAAGCACGAAGAGACAATAATAATGAACAACAGACCTTATGAGACTCTAACGGGATTCTATTGCACAAGCCACAACGTTATTGATGCCATCATCTTCACAAGGACAATGGCGTGCTGACAGGTTCAGACAACATTTTCTGAAGGACAGCGCAGTACTCTCACACCAGTATCGGTGTGCGCAAGAGGTGTCTGCAACATGGAGGTTCTGGCCATCAAGCTAAGCGACTCCAGTGATCGAATCCGTAAGTCTCATGAGAAACGACTTATCTATCTAGTAGCCTTCAACGCGTCCAAGAAACTAACGTCCAACACAACTGTACCCGCAAACAAACACAAATTGTTAGGGCCCTCCCCTGAACAGCTATTTTCTGGACAGTACGCACTGTCTGTATTCACTCGTGTGTCAAAGTTTCAACATATCAGAGAAACGTGTGGATTTTTTTTTTTTTTTTGAAGATAACTCAGTTAAGTGACTTTTATGTTAGTGTTGTAATTTCAACATTGTCTATTAATGTCTATTCAGCTGATGAATGCTTTCTAGCTGCAACGTTAACTTGTCGTCTGTGCTGTTGATAATGTTAAGATAAATAGCTCTATTTTTCGTTTGATCTAATAACTTTGCATGATATGAAAATTATGATACACGAAAATAAGCCATTCCGTGTTTACTTCACTGGAGAATACAAACGTGTAACTGGAGTAGATCATAGCGGCAAGGAGAACCATTCAACATGTAAGCACTCGTGAAAGGTCACTCTGAGATATTCAGAGAAGAACATTTGTGCAGATATAAACCAAAGATATGTTTGGCAGCATTTATTCCTTTTAAAACTGGGGGGCGGGGGGAGCGGAGCAGAGCAACCAACAAAATGGTTTCTTGGTCACTGTGAAATATATGTGCGCTAAAGGAAAACGGTAACTGGCGCATAGCATTTAGTCACAGAGACAAGAAAATAGAATAAAAGAGCACAAGAGACAAGAGAACAGAGGGACAAAGACAAAGACAAAGTACATGAGAAGAGAATTGAATTATGAGATTAAATTTGAACAAAGTAAGGGACATATAAGAACAAAACAGAAAAACACAAGAGCATTAGTCAGGGTGACAGGAAAAAAAGGACAAAGTCGGGAGGGCAGAATACCAAAAAACCGAATGAACCAGTTCTGGTTTCCAGAGCTAAAGAAATAGCTTTCTCACCCCCCCCCCCCCCCCCTTTTTCCCCCATCTCCTCAATGTTTCCAAGAAACTGTGTGAATGATTAAAGCTATAATAGTAGGCTTGTCTATGTGTCCGGTGGTCAAAAGTTCAAATCAACATCCAGATAGTTTTTCATTTGAAACACCTGGGTTGCCGTGTCGACCCGCTCTGGAATAGATACCAGAAAATGGCCTGCTGGGAGGTAAAAGCAAATGGCGTTGTACTGACCATATCACTCGTTAAGTGGCGATTGGGTGCTGGCACCAGGATAGGTTTTAAAGTGAAGACATGGGCGGGTAGCTTGACTATTAGGTACAGTTTATGGTCAGATTAAAGTAGAGATAATCGTGGAGCAAAGCAGACTTGCGCACTGACCGATGGTGAAGTCATCGATGTGTCTGATGTAGCTCTTGTCATTTCCACTGTCGGCTTTTTCTGGCGTGGTCACAAAGTCCTGGATAAACAGCTGGGACAACTGTGAGTACTCTTCCTGTAGACATAGAACAGTTATCTATGGTTGCTTGCTAGACACACATACACACAGACAATGCACATAGACACGAACACCCGCACAGATACACACACAGATACACATAGACACATGCACACACACAGACATATCCATATACACACAGACATAGACACACACACACAGATACACACAGACACATATTCACCCAAATTCACACACACAAACACACACACACAGAAACAGATCAAGCCTGTGGACGACACACTGAATCCGTGAGATAACCAAAAGCATGCAGGCAAATGTGACTTGTAATTCTGAATCTCTGAACAAAATTAAACACAAATTCCTTACTAAAATAAATGCAGCCTATGGGTCAAAGTGCACCAACTGGAGCACAATGGATATAAGAAGACGATCAATACTAAGAAAATTAAACGAGTAAAGGATTCCTGAAACTGCAATAGCCCATAATTTCACTAGATGCTATCTATAATATGTTATTTTATGAGTCTGGCTTTTTTATAGTTATTTTTCATACGTGTACGTCATCTTATCTGTAAGCGTAATGTCAGTGGCTATCCCCTAGCTCACGAAAACAGAAAACAAGAAAGCCAATTATGAAATCACTGCTTTGAAATGTAGGTGTCATAGGTCTAGAACAACAGTATACATTAGGCACACAGAATACAAGCAGCTGTGTACACCAAACACAAAGAATGCCTTATAACTGTGTACACACAACAGACACACCTCTTTACAACAATCACAAACAATGCTTTATAACTGTGTACACACAATAGACACACCTCTTTACAACAATCACAAAGAATGCCTTATAACTGTGTACACACAACAGACACACCTCTTTACAACAATCACAAAGAATGCTTTTTAACTGTGTACACACAACAGACACACCTCTTTACAACAATCACAAACAATGCCTTATAACTGTGTACACACAACAGACACACCTCTTTACAACAATCACAAAGAATGCCTTATAACTGTGTACACACAACAGACACACCTCTTTACAACAATCACAAACAATGCCTTTTAACTGTGTACACAAAACAGACACATCATTTTACAACAATCACAGAGAATGCCTTTTAGCTGTGTACACACAATAGACACACCTCTTTACAACAATCACAAAGAATGCCTTATAACTGTGTACACAAAACAGACACATCATTTTACAACAATCACAGAGAATGCCTTTTAGCTGTGTACACACAACAGACACACCTCTTTACAACAATCACAAAGAATGCCTTATAACTGTGTACACACAACAGACACACCTCTTTACAACACAGAACATGCCTTTATCTAACTGTGTACACACAACAGACACACCTTTTTACACCAATCACAAACAATGCCTTATAACTGTGTACACACAACAGACACACCTCTTTACAACAATCACAAACAATGCCTTATAACTGTGTACACACAACAGACACACCTCTTTACAACAATCACAAACAATGCCTTATAACTGTGTACACACAAAAAGAGTCACACCATTCTTTACACCAATCACCATTACCAATGCCTTTTAAGCTGTGTAGGAACACACAACAGACACACCTCCTTACAAACAATCACAAACAATGCTTGATAACTGTGTACACACACAAAACAGACACACCTCTTTAAAAACAATCACAAACAATGCCGTTTTAACTGTGTACACACAACATAGACACAAATCTTTACAACAATGCACAAAGAATGCCTTTATAACTGTGTACACACAACAGACACACCTCTTTACAACAGTCACAAAGAATGGCCTATATAAACTGTGTACACAAAACAGACACACACTCTTTACATAAACAAAACTTATAAAAAAGAAGAATGCCTTTGTAAGCTGTGCACACCAGACACCACAAAACAGAGAATGCCTAATAACTGTGTACACCAGACAATTAATTTACAAACAATCACAGACATCGCCTTTTAGCTGTGTACACACAAACAGACACCACATCACAACAGTGCACAAAGAATGCTTTTTACACTGTGTACACAGAACAGATACACACCTCTTTACAACAATCACAAACAAATAATGTCTTTTTAACTGTGTACACACCAGACACACCTATTTTTTCTTACAACAATCACTAAGTAATGCCTTTTAAATGTACACACAACAGACACAACTCTTAACAACAGTCACAAGAATGCCTCCTTAGCACGTACACACAAACAGACTAACAAACTGTGTACTATAAAACACAAAGAATGCCTTTTAAAACTGTGTACACACAAACAGGGACAAATGACACAACTTAGTACAACAATTCACAAAGAATTAAATAAGCTGTGTAATAACAGACACAACTTTACATAGAACACAAATAATTGCTAACAACTATGTACGCAAAACAGACACACCTGCTAACAAAGAGGAAGAAAGACACAAACTTACAGCCGTGCATTCCGGACCATTAAACATAATGTGTACACCAGACATTAATTAATGCAAAAAATGTGTACACAGGTACACAAATTATACCTAACAAACTGTGTACACCAGACATAAATTTTATACTAACAACTACTTGTGTACGCCACACATAAATAAATACTAACAACTGTATACACCAGACACAAAATATACTAACAACTGTGTATATCAAACACAAATATACCAACAACTGTGTACGCCAGACATAAATTATACGAACAACTGTGTACACCAGACATAAAATATACCAACAACTGTGTACACCAGACATAAAATATACCAACAACTGTGTACACCAGACATAAAATATACCAACAACTGTGTACACAAGACATAAATTATACTAACAACTGTGTACGCCAGACATAAATTATACTAACAACTGTGTACACCAGACAGAAAATATACCAACAACTGTGTACACCAGACGTAAAATATACCAACAACTGTGTACACCAGACATAAATTATACTAACAAGTGTGTACGCCAGACATAAAATATACTAACAAATGTGTACGCCAGACATAAAATATACCAACAACTGTGTACACCAGACATAAATTATACCAACAACTGTGTACACCAGACATACATTATACCAACAACTGTGTACACAAGACATAAAATATGCTAACAACTGTATACGCCAGACACAAAATATACTAACAACTGTGTACATCAAACACAAAATATACCAGCAACTGTGTACACCAGACATAAATTATACTAACAACTGTGTACACCAGATATAAATTATGCTAACAACTGTATACGCCAGACACAAAATATACTAACAACTGTGTACATCAAACACAAAATATACCAACAACTGTGTACACCAGACATAAATTATACTAACAACTGTGTACGCCAGACACAAAATATACCAACAACTTGTACACAAGACATAAATTATACTAACAACTGTGTACGCCAGACACAAATTATACTAACAACTGTGTACACCAGACATAAAATATACCAACAACTGTGTACGGCAGACATAAAATATACCAACAACTGTGTACACCAGACATAAAATATACCTAAAACTGTGTACACCAGACATAAAATATACCAACAACTGTGTACACCAGACATAAATTAAACTAACAACTGTGTGCACCAGACACAAAATATACCAACAACTGTGAACATCAAACACAAAATATACCAACAACTGTGTACACCAGACATAAAATATACCAACAACTGTGTACACCAGACATAAAGTATACCAACAACTGTGTACACAAGACACAACATATGCCAACAACTATGTACACTAGACATAAAACATACTAACAGCTGTGTTCGTTAGACACAAAATATACTAACAACTGTGAACACCAGACATAAAATATACTAACAACTGTGTACAACTGCACTCAGGTTATGGACTAGAGTGGAGTCAGAACTTTTCGCCGGAGTTTACAGCCTGTCTACGCGAAAACAACCTGAACTGCTTAATTAAAGACATCTCGCGTTATGTACAGTTAACAGTATGTTTATAATGCCCTATAAAAAGACCACTCAGAAATTATTATAATTATTTTAATTTTTTTTTTTTTTGAACTTTTATTTTCATTTAAAATTCAGTTACATATTTGAAAGTTGCAAGATCTAATGAATGTTACATCAACAATATTCTATTTACAGTTCATGTAATACATTCAATCCCTCCTCAGTCTCTTATTTTCCAAATCTTCTCGCCCAGCCTCACTCGCGAAATATACTAACAGCTGTGTACACCAGACACAGAAAATCCATGGAAATGTGTACACCAGACACAGATAATACTAACAACTGAGATTATTTATACTATGGTCTCTCCATTTACACACCAGCTGATAAGTTGGTTGGACTAGTCTACCGTGGTCGAAATTATGGGTGTCGCAGTGTGTTGTCTCGCATTTACGTGTTTATTTCCGATAAAGAGACAGCCTGTGTCATAGGTTTTGTCACTCTCTATGGGGGTTGTGTGTTAGACCCAGTATTTAAATGTTTTAGAAGTGTTAAAAGCTCTGGCATAGTAAAATATACAATACGCCATATCAGCACGAGTGCGGAATATCCCCGTGGCCTTGTGTGAAAGTCGGATCGCTCGAGGCTTACCTATCATATGAGGTGGTATGTATGTCGTCCAATCAGAAGCGAGCTAGTGTGTAGCTCTGTGTAAATGGGGAGACTAGCGTAGAAAATTTACCACAACTGAATATTCGTGTGCATGTCTGACACAAAGAACACTTACAGTGATGTGCAACTGACACTAAGAATACTTTCATCTGTATAAATCAAACACAATAAATACTAAAACCAGAAGACACACAGAATATTTACGACTGTGTACAGGCTAACACGGAGAATACGTACAACTGTATAAATCAAATCTGGAGGACTCGGATTCGGACTGTTGAAATTGTTAATGGTGATTTGTTCACCTTTGAACTTGAAGTAAGCCGGTGATGTCGGCAAGGGAACTTGAGCGCTGGGTTTTGTGCTACACAACATTGTTGTTGGAGTCTGTAATATACAAGGTACAAAACTGTTGTTGGAGTCTGTAATATACAAGGTACAACACTGTTGTTGGAGTCTGTAATATACAAGGTACAAAACTGTTGTTGGAGTCTGTAATATACAAGGTACAACACTGTTGTTGGGGTCTCTTAATATACAGCACTGTTTTTGTAGACTGTAGTATACAACATTGTTATTGGAATCTATAATATGCAAAGTACACAGTTTTGGGGTCCTTAATATGTTTTGTAGACTGTAGTACACAACATTGTTATTGGAATCTATAATATGCAACACAGTTTGTGATGTCTTTAATATACAACAATATTATTGTAGACTGCAGCATATAATATTATTGTTGAAGTCTGCAATGTACAGCCATTCAGCTCCCTAGTCACCTCTCTGTACCTTTAAATCATTTGACAATCCCCCAGTATGCGCCAGCCATTTCACTCTAACAGTCCCATTATGTCAGTGATCAATGTTGATTATGATTAGTTGTTTTTCACTTTCCATTCCTTGCTGTTTGCATCTTTCATTAGTTCAAAAATTCGCCCTGAGACTGTTTTAGAAAATTTGTAACAAGGCTTCGACTCTTTTACTTGTGCCCCAAGTTTCAAAGCCATATCGATCGACTAGTGTGCTTCCCATAGAAATATTATATCATGGGAAATACCTCTACCACGTATTTCTTTGAGTTAAAAAAAAATAACAGCAAAGATTGTTGCGTGACCTCTGTCGTTTCACAGACAGACAGACAGACAGACAGACAGACAGGCAGGCAGGCAGGCAGGCGGGCGGGCAGGCAGACAGACAGATAGACAGACAGACAGACAGACAGACAGACAGACAGGCAGGCAGGCATGCAGGCAGGCAGGCACATACACACACACATAGAGAGAGGCTCGTACCCACACACAGACTATTGTCTGTAGGTCAGCATTTGTAGAAAACATAAAGTAAGAGCATTACAAACCAGAACAGGTATGTAGTCTCTAACCTGAAAAATTTCATCAGTCGGTTCCACATTGTCAAAAAACGTGAAGTCTACACTGTGAAAGATTCATGGATGAACAAGAAAATCATTTAAATTGTGGTAGGTATTAGTATTAACTTAGTTTGAATTACTGCCCTCCTATCTCTTTTCGTTCTACAAATGTATAAATTACACATTCTGCAAACGTTTATCTATATAATAAAAATTAAAATGTTCATATGTTAGTGGCAGCTAATCTCGGAAAGTACTTCACCGACTGCTTTAAAATTTGGAAACAACGTTTCATTCGGATACGCACATGTTTTTATATAATAATGTCGCACAAAGCACGAACTACATAGCACCAGCGACGATCATCTTGGTTTTGTTTTCTGACAATTTGTTTTTGTTGCCGCGTTCCGGTGCGGGTTTTTATTGGTAGGCCAACTTTGACATCTGACCTCAGAAGAAGTCTGCATGGTGTTTTTCACCGATTGCTTTAAAATGTTGGCACACCATTACACTAGAATACGCGCCTGTTTTTATTTAAGAGTGTCGCACAACACACGGACTACAAAGTTCCAGTGACGATCTCATCAGCATCTTGGTTTTGTTTTCCGACGATCCGATTTCTTTTTCATTGCTGTATTCCCAAACTTTCAACAAGCGAAAAAAAAAAACCCACTAATGACGCCCGTTCTGTGGTGTTTAATTAGATGACTCTTCCCCTTGATGCTGCAGGCGGCACTCACAGATCCACCACTCTCGACAGGATCTTCTTCACTATATGCATGTCACTGAACATCAATGACATCACTACTGCCCATGACGGGGAAATCACAGTAGCCGCCTTGCCCACAAGATTCATCTGCTCACAGTAGCCGCCTTGCCCACAAGACAGACAGACAGTAGGCAGCAGTGGAACCCACACACAGAATATTGAGTTGTTGTTATTGTTGGGAGTTATCAGCATATGTCGACCCCCAGTAAGGTGATATAATTTTTCTGTCAGGGGCACAATTAAACTTCCTAAGCTGAACAGTCCGTGGCGACAGCACTAGCCATGCGGCTTCTCTGGCTCACGACCCCCTGTATACACCGACCTAGAGAGGCGGTAAAACAAGCAGTAGTGACAGTTTTTTTTTTTAAGTTGTTGTAGTTTTAGTGGTGGTAGTAGTAATACTGGTTCTCGATGGCTAATGTGATAAATATTATACTGACCGCATTTCCTTCTAATTACAATTTCTGCTATCTCTTTTAGTCTCTACAAATGTATCAGTTTTTACAAATTCTGCAAACGTTTATCTATGTAAAAAAAAATAACCATGTTTTTTTGTTAATACACTTTAAACGACCACTAATATAAGGACACAATTTATGTTGCGTGATTTAGAGTCGGCAAACCAGACTATCTGTGAAGACAATGACTGTGAAATAAACCATATTAGACACGCGCGCTTTCTATTTTCTATTTAATAATGTCGCACCAGACACGGCCACATAGCACCACGACGTGTATATCTTGGTTGTTGTTGTCTGACAATTTGTCTTTGTGTGCCGTGTGTTCCGGTGCGTGTGTCTGTGTCTGGTGAGTCTGTGTGTCTATATATGTGTATATATGTGTCTGTATGTGTGTGTGTGTCTGTGTAAGAGTGTGTGGTCTGCAGGCAGGCTTTTACAAAGCCCCATTCTTTGCTCCCCGTGGGCTCCAAAACATGTGTGCAGGTTAATTCTTGGTGCATTAC